ATGCACACAGGGGCAATACAAGACTTCGCAATGAGGTAGAGTCTGAGAGCTGTATAAATAGTCCACTAATGCAGGTCAGGTGCTAGCGCAAACAGAGCCAGGTACGTGTGTGGGAAATGAAGTCCGAATTGGAGTTCAATACTCAGGGGAGAGCTCCCTCTGGTGGCGAACAGGAGGCACTGTGGGAGTCTCGTTGGAGGAGTCCTCCCTGGAGTCTGGAATCGAGTAGTTCTCGAACTTGGTATACCTCCTCCCCTGGTATACCTCCTCGCTTGGTATACCCTGGTCCCTGATCAGCTCCTCCTCCTTCGCTCTCGGACCACCAGCGGGTTGAAACATGAAATGTAGGAGAAATACGATTATTAGCGGGTAATGCCAAAGTGTAAGAAACTGGTGTTATTTGTTTAACAATTTGGAAGGGACCAACATACCTGGGACTGGGTTTCCTGCATGGAAGTCTGAGGCGGAGATCTCGGGTAGATAACCAGACCCATTGACCTGGAATGTATTCAGGACTGAGGCGACAGTGACGATTGGCTTGCAACTTCTGTCTCCTAACGGCATGTAGCAAGTGGGTGTGAGCCTGGTTCCAAATGTTCTCGCTCCTATGGAGCCAGCCGTTGATAGCAGGTACCTTGGTGGGTTCTCCTGACCATGGGAATAAAGGTGGTTGGAAAAAACCATTATGCATTGGAAAGGTGTTAGTCCAGTTGAGGGTTTTTGAAGTGAATTTTGAGCGTACTCTGCCCACATGAGATATCGGCTCCAGTCTGCTTGGTTCTGTTGGCAGTAGGATCTGAGGAATCATGTGATTTCCTGATTGAGCGCTCAGTCTTGCCATTAGATTGCGGGTAATGAAAGCTGGGAGAAAGCTGACCATACTCTGGAGGTGAATTGGGAACCTCGATCCGACATGAAAAGATGCACATGCACATTGTGACATGCTCAAGCAAGTAGCTCTCTCACTTTCTTCAGTAAATGTAAATTATCTAGTATTTTTTTTCCCTCAGTTTGATGATACAGAAATTAATTTCATCTTTGTTATAACAGATCATTATAATGAATAATAAATTATTAATTTATTATTCATTAGATAATTTATTTTTTATAAGAGTTGTGAGCATGTATTATTTATTAGCTTTGGATCTAATTATTTGCATATATATTAATCTGTCAAAAAGAAACTCAGGTGACAACTTATATATATATTTATATATTTGAAGCAACAGAAAGAAAAGAGCAAAGTCCAGGTGTGATTTCTCTTGTCCATCAGTGCTCATGAAATCTGCACATGCTATACTGTCTGTTATATTTATGGAAGACCATTTCTGTCATGGAAAAAAAAGATAAATTGCAACTTTATCTCACAATTCAGACTTTGAGACACAAACTCAGAATTGCGAGTAAAAAAAGCCAGAATTGTGAGATAAAAAGTTGCAATTACCTTTTACATTTTTTTATTCCCATGGCTGAAACATTAAAACAGTAAACTTAGAATTGTGAGAAAAACAGTCTGAGTACTGAGTTTGCATCTCACAATTCTGCGTTTATTTCTTAGAATTGTGAGAAACAAAGTCCGAATTTTGCAATTCACTTTTTTTATTTATTTTTTATTCTGTGGTGGAAATGGGCTTCTGTATTTTTTCCTCATGCAAACCCATGGGTTTCCAGTCCAGAAGATGCACATATATCCTGTCAAGACATTTTTTGACTTTGATTTTTCCCATGTTATAAACACTCCTGCTGTTGGAAGTCTGGCTGGAGGAGCTTGAGTTAGTGCTGCGTGTCTTTTTGAAAGCTTAATACAAAGCTGGTGTTTCTCAGCGGCAGATTGGGGGATCACACGCTTTGAACATATGGAATGTGATTTCTGACTCTTTACTGCACTGCAAACACAAATTCAATCATATAACAATCCAAACAACAATACAGGAATTGTGTTGCGTGATTTAATGTGATTATGTGTGGGTTAAAGCAGGGGTGCCCACACTCGGTCCTGGAGGGCCAGTATCCTGCAGAGTTTAGCTCCAACCCTAATCAAACACACCTGAAGCAGCTAATCAAGGTCTTACTAGGCATACTAGAAACTTCCAAGCAGGTGTGTTGAGGCAAGCTGGAGCTAAACTCTGCAGGACACTCGCCCTCCAGGACCGAGTTTGGGCACCCCTGGATTAAAGGATTCTGTTGGATTCTGTAGGTGCTCGGTGGGAGAGATCACAGATGCCATGAAATCTGTTTTCGGGGAGCACAAAGCCAGCACGCGTATGGTGAGCGGAGCGTACCGCAGTGAATTCGGCGAGCATGAGGAGATTGCACTGGCGCATAACAGGTAGGAGCTTACAGATTCCTGAAACTAGAACTGTACTCATTCCCCACATCCAAATACGCCTGCTTTCCTAACATATAGCATGCTAAAAGCAGTATGTCAGCATGTATGAGTACTATGTCCAAATAAGTGGACAAAAAGTTGTCCTTCCAAGGGTGTTGACATAATCGAATATCACATTTATGGAAATGTTTATTATGAAAGTCAAAAGGGTGTATG